ATCGGCATTATTTTTCTTTTTCTTTTTTTACTTATCATCGTCATGTGTCGAAATTACCCCACACTTACAAAGTACTTATGCAACAAATTTTACCTTATTAGGGCCAACACTTTTTAACACGTACAACATAACTAAAAAATGAAACGGAACAAATAATTCGTGCTGCATGTTAAGTGCATGGAGAAATGCCATTAGTACGCTAAAATTACTTAATCGTGGCAACCTTCTAGTGACTCATTTAATGTTCACAAAATATACAAATATAACAATAATAATTGATTTCCATAGAGAAAAATTGATTAGTTTTTCTCAAAAATAAATAAAAAATAAAAAAAATAATAAAAATTAAGGATGAGTCATCATTCTACTATTCGAGTTCTCATAAACTTTTAAGCAAAATTATTTTGTCTATTTGTACAAATTATTTTTTATTTTTTAATTATCATCGATATTTTTTTTAATTATCATTAGCATGCATCGAAATTACCCCACACTAAAAATTTACTTAAGCAACAAATTTTATCTTATTAGGGTCAAAACTTTTTAACACGTACAACATAATTAAAAAATGATACAGACTAAACAAATTCGTGTTGGGTGTTAGGTGCATGGAGAAATGCCTTTAGCATGCCAAAATTACTTAATCATGGCAACATTTCGGTGACTTGTTTATGTCTCGTTCAGTTTGTGAATTCGAGTTTTTAATTCGAATTTAGATGTGATTTTATGTGAGAGTTTTTTCACTGTAGTAAAAAAAGTTAGATGTAATTTTTTATGAAAGCTTTTAACTGTAGCAAATATGGAATTAAAAATTTAAATTGGTGAAATTAACGAGGCCTTAATGTTCACGTCAATCTTGAACTGACACGTATAACAATAATAATGAACTAGTAGGTATTAATTATCTAATTTAATTGAAAATTGACCCATAAAAATATAGGTTAAATTACGTATCAATCTGATACGTTAGTAAAACGACCCATTTATCAAATTAAATTTGATATTTTTAGAATATTATAATTATTGTTGTTGTTGTTGTTATTATTTACTGATATGCTGTGAAATCACAATTAAATTCCAAACTAAATGGATTATTATTAGTAAATTGAATTTATTTTGTACCAAACTCTTGAAAAAATTGTTTTCCAAAACCATATGATTACAGTTAGGATCTTTTTACTATGATACATTTGAAAATAGATTGGGTTACACAGTCGTCAGATTTGTAGATCTTATATTACCATTTTTAAGGGACCTTGTTGGAAAAGCATTCACATGAATCACACCAGACACGTAACATCAAAATCACAATATGTAAGGCATCGCATTTCACATATTGAAAAGATCATACAACATATAATATTATTGGCTATAAGCTTTGTCTAAAGAAACAAAAGCTGACTTCAAACGTAATAGAGAAAAATAAAAGGAAAATGTAGGCTAAATATCTCCATCAACGAGTACCAAAACAAACCCAGATATGACTAATTTATCAAAAAATATATATATTTGTCAAAAACTATATAAGAAACCCAATAATCTATTTTCCTTAGAACGACGCATCTAATGTCAAAAACTTATTTATCAAAAGAAAAAAAAAAAACTAATGTTAAAGAATACTCTAAAAAGGGATATTCTAAAATTAGATCCCAAATGGTGTCCTTTGGAGAACTTTAACAAGCAAAACCAAAAACTAAAAGGGAAAGGGGGGAAAAAAGAAAGTCCACTTGAAATTAGTGGACCGTCCTGACTCCTGGGACGTACGAAGGCAAAATGTACCAAATAATATCAACTATATTGTATTGTATTTTATTTCCCACTTGGACAAAGTTCCATTTCTGGAACAATGTAAATAAAAATAATAATCAAACTCAAATTCAACTATTGCTTATTATGGCCACCTGGTACAATGCACTGATCAATAGACTAATCATAAATGGCTGCAACTATCATCTTTTTTTTTTTTTTTTTTTATATGTATTGAATAAAATAAGCATAAAATTTCGAGGAGATTAAGATGCCAAATTGATTAACAATTATACAAGCACGCAAACTCGTCAGACCTGAATCAGAATATAATCCAGATTATAGCTTTAGTTTAATATGGTCATGTTGTTTTTATTCTTATAAATGTTGATCAAGTCCAGAGGCATATCAGACAGTGTCTGATGATAAAAATTGGCATTGTTTTTTTGAGCAAATTATAATAATAATTATCATAACAAATTGGTATTGTTTATTCTGTCAAATTTAGATTGATGATCCTGATTTGGTGGGTGAAATTCACATTTTCAAACAATACATAATTACATATAGACCAACTATACAAAACAATATTAATTTATGTTACTTATATAAAGGAGGAGAAAAAAAAAAAAAAAAGGAGAGAGACAGTCACCTAACCTGTTCTAAAGAAATGCTATAAATATGTAAAAGGCTACGGCCTACATAAGATAAAGGAAAAGAAACCTTAAAAAGCCAGAGCAATCTTTGGCTTCTTCTTCTCAATTAATATTTTAATTTCTTGTTTAAGAAACCCAATATCCAGAACGTTGTATAAATATTATAAATGAATCGTGCTTTCCTCGGCTATGAACAAGTAGTACTAGAGTTTAGATACTCGTTTAAAATTCCATGTTGCAATTTAAAAATCCATTCCCTTGGTTCTTACAAAAGGAGGGAGAAAAAGAAAGCACTAAAATATAATATAAGTTACTATTGAATCTTGATGGAGTAGATGCTAAGGAACTGTTTGTGTTAATAAATATGAATCATAAGCCAGATAATCTTAAAAGGAGTGATGTATACTGTGTGTAAGATGGCAAGTGCATGTGTTGAATCATTAATAGTTTAATTAGCTTGATTAATAGCTTTTGCATAGAGGGTATTTTTGAGTAATCAAAAACAATTTGATAGAGTTGATTTATTTTGTATTTCATACTAACATGTGGATGAAGCAAGGCATATATCCTCCTTATATATAACACCTCAAGTAAATATTAAAAAAATGATCACCACCTTCCAATCAACAGTAACAGAGTGTTTCAATGAGCTTCACCTGGGATTTCTTATTGTCTAACTTCACTAATTCACAGAATACACTCTCTAAATAATATATATATATATATATATATACATGAACAACAAAAGAAAGAGAAAAACGACACAATGTCCTGCAAAATCATACCAAAGATGGAGATATAAAATGTGATACTGTAGCAGCATCATATCTCATATTTAAATGCATGTTCTTTCATGCAATATATGTTTTGTTCAAACAAACTTTGGAAAAATAAGAGGGATTAAATAAGAATATTGTAAGCCATTTCACAACTAAACATTAGAATGACTGATTTATTAAGTGGCTTGAAAAATGCAGTTAGTTATTCCACTCACTAATATTTTGGTACCAAACTCCCTTTCTTTATAATAAGATATACTATTCCACCATACCAACTATGCTTTTTTTTTTTTTAAAACAAAAAATATTTTTTTTTTTTGGGCTTAAGGCGAATCCTAACTTCATACTTCATAGTAATGAGTTGGTCTATATGCTTTCCTTACCTTTTGTCGGACAGTAAGAAAAGTCGCTGGTAATCCCTCTTTAGCTTTTTCTAAGATAACGAGGATTGGATGATCTTCTCTTCATCTCAACTCCCAATAAAAACGAAAACTAATGCATTTGCTTTTCTCTAATATAAGTGTTATATAACCAAAAAAAAAAAAAAAAGAAAAAAAAAGAAATGAAGCAAGTAGAAAACAAGACATTGACAAGGATGGTTTTGTAAAGAAACAAAAGTTAATATTCTACACTTTGATAATGAAAAGTAGCTTAGCAGGAAGTTAATTTTGTCTCTTAGGTTTGCTTTAGGTGCCAGTAATAGGCCCTCTCTAAGTTAAAAAGGCACTCTTTCTGCATGCTATTATGTCATTACAGACTTGACTAATGAACTTCAAAAGACTGTTGCTTAGGTTAGCTGTCCGCTAATTCCCATCTTTATTCCTACCTAAGGACCCAACTAAGGGGTTGTTTTGTTGGAGGATTCCTATCCCGATTCAAATTATGATTTATGATTCACTACAGTATTTTCTCTCATAAAAAATACACGTAAATTGAAAATAATTTTAATTCATGAATCAAACGTCTCATAATACTACATAACACGTCAATTGAATAATTTGAGACAAATATCCAATTTCCTAACGTGGTTTTATCTGGCATTAGATTTTTTTTAATTCATTTACTAGAAATTTTAATGATGAAAGTTCATTACAAATTTCTTCATCGTCACTACTATGAATAGGCCTTAGGAAAGGTTGAATACATTTGAAATACATTAAAGGAAATTATATTGAAACAAAAACCTCATTGGTATTGTGTTGACGCCAGAATTTGATTTAAAAAAAAAAAAAAAAAAAAAAAAACCTTGATGACTTACATATGACGGTCTAAAACTATGTAGCACCGGTAGGTTACATAAAACCGAATTCCCCTAAATTTAGTACACAATGTAGTCAAATGAATTAAAGACTCTTAAACCCCGTTCATTTTACCGATTCGAGTTTTGCTACAGTAAAAAAGCTCATAGAAACAGTCACATCTAACTTTTTTATTACAGTAAAAAACTCTAATATAAAGTCAAATCTAAACTCGAATTAACGAACTTAACGGACCCTTAAAAGAATCAAATGAATCTATATCAGTATCACCTTCGGATAGTAGACTGTCAAAATCCTTGCCGTGCACCATCAATTCCAAGAACATAATTCTAACCCAGTGAACTTTTGGCGCCCTCAGAAGTTTCAAATCCTGATTTAGCAATCTTAGCTGGTATCTCTTTATTTGGGACCTAATTTAGGCTGAGTTGTCTGGATTGTTCAAGTAAATCTCGTGTTAATGGTGTTGTGCCAAACATCAAATTAAATAGATTTAGAACAAAATATAAAAAACCTGAAAAATCCAAAAGATACAAAGGATTAAATATATATGCTTCCCAAAAATCTAGCCGACAACGAATATGAGTCAAACAGAGATATAGGCCTTGGGCCCAAACAAAAGACAAACTTCATGGGCTTAATTAAAGCCACACGCCCAACAAAAGGAAGTTCTTATAAAATGCTTGCAACTTGAGCTATGTTGGCTTCCCCCATTGATCGCTGCAACCTTTCCCGTCAAAATTAATGACGTCACTGTGGCCTGCAATTTTGTTATTATAGCATTAGATCCGTTTCGTTTGCTAATTCAAACTTTTAATTCGAGTTGAGATGTAAATTTAAATGAGAATTTTTTTACTGTAGTAAAAAATTTAGATGTGACAGTTTCTGAAAATTTTTTACTGTAGCAAAAAACGGATTTTAAACTCAAAGTAGTGAAATGAATGGGTACTCTGTCATTCCCTCTCCTCTTAAAACACAGGCACGAGATTTTATACCTGTTCACTGTAGATTAGATAGGGAGGAGAAGGAAAAAGAAAGGAAACTAGAAGCAGAAATCGGGCACAACCTTGAAAATATAGACTGATCATGTTGCAGGAAATTCTTAAACTATCCATTAAGTTATTAAGAGCATTAATGTTCAACCAGGTATATAGACATCATCTTATTTAGTTTGGACGAACTAGTTTGCAGCAAAGATCAAAGAATAAGAAATAAATAAATGCTATCAATTTGAAATAAATAAAAGTCTCTTTTGACAAACCATGGGAGTGAATTTTGTTTATCTCTGCCCCCTTGAGTTCTCTTCCATAATCATCTAGCAACGAAATTCCAGCTGCCGTTATGTTAAAAGGGAAAGCCAAAGGTGGTGACATTGGAGACTTTGCCAACTTGATGAACCTCTGACCTGCAAGAGAGAAAAAAAAATTACAAGATCGGCAATAAGAAGCATAAAAGTCTTAATTTTCTCGTACAGTTAACATTAAGAACTAAATAGTTCACGACTAGGACTACTTTTGATCATAAAATCTCAAGAACCATAAAGTTTTATCACTGCAAGGTTTAGATTCATTGTCTAGTAGAGAGCATTCTATGAAACACCCACAAGATTTTTGTGCTAACCAGGAACAATTAAAATAAGAGGAAAAAGTATTGATTTGTTCACATGACAATGTGTTGACTGAGTGAGAGAATGACTCGACCGTAAACACTGAATTTTGGTTAGATCAAGCATCAAAGGCAACCTGATTTAGCTTCAAGCACGAGACGAATTGTCACTGAATGAGCCCAATTAATCCCCAAAGCAGCAACAAGATGAGAATCATATCCTACAGGATCCTCCGTGCTCCGCACTGTACAAAGTATACCAACTGTCTTACATAATTTTGAGAGTAAGCTTTTACAATGTAACTTTTTGAACATACCTTGAAAAGAATATTGGCAACCTTCATCACGGGTTTGAGATCGCACTTGATTTGTAACTACAATAGGGATTCGTGAAAATTCAGCGAGTGATCTAGAGTAAAAGAGGAGGGAAAAGAAAAAAGAAAGAGCAATATCAATTGAGCAGGAAAGGGCATCAACAGCTAATAAGTTCTACATTTCCAACAGAAAGAGCTAAGATTCTCACTTGATAAAAGAAACATGCCAACCAAGTAAGTGTTGTCTTGAGGCTCCTTGTCCGTAATCCCTAGACAAAAGATGATCCTACTTAAAAACAATGATCTAAAGTGACTGAATTAAGCAAACGGAGCTCCATCCCCATAAGCCCTGGACAAAAGATGATCACCACTATAACAATAATCTAAAGTAAGTGGATTAAATAAAAAACATCTGATCCAGAGAGACCAATCTTATCACTTGCCTGCAGCTTTGACAAAGACATCTAACAGATTGAGGTTGCAAGGGGTTCTCAAATTATCGTATCATTCCTCAATGCTATTCAAATATGGAGCCGGAATCACCTTTTCAAGGGACTAAGATTGTCTATATAAAATGTTTGGATCCTTCAGTTAAGGTTATTCTTACCTTGGAGGTATGGAAACGAATCAAATGTGAACATTTTATGATTTGAAAATAACAGGTCATATGAATTACAAAGAAGATCAACTCACCCTGAAATAACAGCAGTCATGCTGTCAATTACTACCAACTTCACCTGTTGCTGACGAAGTGCAACCTGGATTTGTTGCAAACTGGCAATAGATCGATAACATATGATCAGCTAAAAGGTTATGACTAGGACGAGACAAATAAAACAAGAGAAATTGCAATATGTAGCAGCTCTGATATTCAATGGGAGCTGATCCCCAAAAGGAAGTAATGCCGCGTTTCATAATAACATATGCACCAAAAGGAAGTATAGAAGTCTTTTAGCTCATGATAAGAGTCAAAATAAAATGATAGACATGAGAAATTGGACATTTGATGTCACAGCTAAATGAGCTCTGGTTTTCAATGAACATGATGGTTGAGAAAATTGGTTCAATATTCTGGTAGTTAGTTACAAGAAAGTGAAAGAGTCAGTTAGGATTACGTCTTGAATATCTTTTATTTCAAGATTAGCCAGCCAGGTGTCAGATTTGTATTGGTTGCCTAGTTACTATAAGTAAGGTGTTACTGAGAGATTTAATTGTAATCGTTTTTTGAAGGCACTGAGAGAAAGTCAGATAAGGGAAAATTGGGCTTATCCGGGAGAGAACTTTCTAGCGAGGGTCTGAGTGCTGGGTTTCTTAATTCTTGTATTTTTCTTCTGTCTATGCAAGTAATAAAATCCTTGAGATTTTCTTCATCATCTCTGATTTTGGAAAGTCGATTTATGAGATTGTTTCCTAAGAGAATTGTTCAGAGTTTTATCAATGACTATGCACCATTTAGTATTGCAACCAAAATCTTACTACCATTCAGTGTTATGTCGTCAATTATAAAACTTAGAAGTGAAGTCTTATGAGAACCATACCTCTCAGTAAATTTAGAAAGCGAAGTTGGCCGCAAAACTAGGATCCTACCAGCCATCTGTGTCATATACAGAAAACAGATTCATAGCCAGCTAAAACTGATGATCTGAATAGCAAATTCAAAGGACACCGACAATAAATAGAAATCTGCAGACCTCCTGTGCCATTCCTTTCATGTTAAAAATGTCAGGGAAGCTCTGGACTCCAATTTCTATCATCCTAAAGATAGAATAATCAGAATTCAGAAATTTCTGGGGAAAACATTCTGAGAAACTGATAATGATATCAATAGGCGTAATTCACGTACCTTCTTGAACTAAACTTGGATTCGACATCAATGTAGATGACACGGCCATTTAAACCTCCGTAAGCTGTCGGCAACGAAGCCAATAACGAGAGCTTCATACAAAACTGCAATTTGTACATCAAAGGAAACAGTTTATCATTAAAATCTTGCCCGTCATAACAAGAGAAACAAAAGCTTCCTCAAAAACAAATCATCTTCTTCAGAAGAAAGTAAAGAAGTCCTTTCTTTCATAATGATAACTTCTCAAAATTAAACCAAAGAGAAAAAAAAAATTGAAAATAGAAAGAAACATACTTGAGTTTTGCCGATCCCAGCAGGACCAACGAGCTCTGTCAAAACACCGAACGGTATTCCGCCGCATAATGCCTCGTCTAAACCTTTAAGACCCGTCGGAAGATGACCCCCGTGGCCCTCCTTTTGAATTCGCTGCTCCATTAAAGCCAATGCCTACGGAAACAAACCCTAAGACCACAATTTCAAAAAATCCACAAAGAAATTTGACCAAAAAAAAAATCTTTTTGCTCACAGTTTGATAGGGAGGGCATGCGATTTCGCTAATGCGGGCTAGAGCGGAGGAGACTTCCGCCATTCCCACGTCCAGCAACAGCATTAGCTCGAAATCGGTTAGGGCTAGGGCTTCCTGAAAGCAAAAGAAACCGAAAATGGCGAATTCATCAACTGAGAAATTGAAATTGTGTAGTAATCTGAACCCAAAATTGAACATGTATTAGGGTTTTGAGATAGGGGCTTTACCTGGGCGGTGGTGATGTTACGCGCTGCGAAAACGTTGGCCATTGATTTGGGTAAACCCATCTCCTTTATGAGTTTGTCCGCCATATTCTCCTCTTTCCCTGTAAGGCTCCAATAATCCATTGCTATTAGTGACTCGGTGTTTTCCCGCCAAATCCATAACAGTGGGACAAATTAGATAGTTACTTTTATTTTTATTTTTTTGACAAAGATAGATAATTATTAGCTTAGTTTGACAGTGTTTTTCCCTCTTAAAATCAGTTTTTGTTTATAGCCGAAGTTGATTTTAGTGTTTAGTAAATATCTTCAAAAGTACTTTTTGAAGATTTTTTAAGAATTTACATTCAAAATCAGAAGCAGTCTAAAGACAACTTTAACTTTTAAATTATGCAGAAAACAACATAGTATAATTAATGAAACTTTCATAATACTCATAATGCCCCTAATAAAATTTAAAATTTACAATTTTCTCAATTTAAAATTTAGACTCATAATATAATATAATAATAATTTTATAACAAATAATATCATAATTATATTAATAACTATAATATTATTATTTTATCATATAATATGATATTATAATAATATTATAATTATTTTAATAATATGATATTATAATTATAAT